GCCGGTGCTGGAATGCCCTGCGCTCCCTGGATCTGCGTGTTGGCATGCGTAGTGTATCTGTCATGTCATTTCACACCCCTGGCAACGAGCACCAACAACACGTCAGGGAAATGTCAAGCGACGCAACCTCGACTTGGTTACGTTGGCAGCTGTTCTGTAGGAGCAAGCCTTCGTTGAAAGACTGCGGGCCCTGAGTCTCAGTGTCTCAGTTTCCTTGCAACCCCGCACCAACTCCAGTTGGCTACTCAAGTGCCCCAGCCGCCGCTGCTCCGTTTTCACTTTCCACAGCGCTCAGCGTTCCATCCACACGCCAAGCCCACACCACAACGCCTTGGCCGGGATCAACGTCAAGCAAGGCCGGTTCCGGAAGCAGGCCAGCTGGGGCCGGGCCCAGGAAGCTTGGGCCCGGGAAGTGTGAAAACCAATCCTGCAAACCGCCCATTTTTGGGGACAGACAAGAAACAGTACTCTTTTCCTTTCTTGTTCCCAGGGCAAGGGGTTCTGCAGTTAAGGCTTCAGCCAACTTGGGCTGGCGTGCGTTTAAAACAGTAGGGGGTCCGCTCATGCATTTTCGGAACTCATTAAGAGGTTGATCACTGCAATTCAGACCGTTTTGTTTTAGGGTCGGCTTTGCACTTTAGCTACCACCTGTCAATACCCCGATAAAATCAAAGACTCGTGACCCGTCTACCACCTCTGGCTGCGCGGGTGACTGATCGCATTGAACCGGGGGGCAAGGTTGGTGACATGACTTGAGTGAAAGCCTGAGATGTCTGAGTTTTTGGGTGTCGCTGGTTTCCTTCAAATTTAGAATTTGGTTTCTGCCCTTTTAGCAGATGAGCTTCAAGAAGTGAAGTGAGAGTATGGTTCGCAACATGGCGATCGGCGCTGCATTTCGGATCTGAAACAGTGCTTGAGCAGCAGCATCCCTTGACATGGATGCAATCGCTTGACGCAGCATCGATTGACGAAACAGCTCACACTTTCGCTTGACGCAATGCTTCATGAAGCAACTCACGCCAGGATGTTTCATGAAACACACTCACTGCACTCCTGACTTGGAGGAGGCGTGCCCAAAAGATCAGGTACTCAGCCTGCCGAGAATGAAGCCCGCTTTCAGGGCCTTGCTATTGATACTGCAAAGTTCTTTGATCGCGTCCCAGGGCCTGCTGAGATGACGATAGCGCCCAGCAGCTGTCGCTCCTGGGCGAACTTCGCCACGGAGCTCCCTGTAGCTGCCATCATGCTTGACCAGTGCGCGGTGGGAATGTCGGCAGCCGCATGGTGGCGAAGCGATGCTCCTCTCCTGTGCCGCTTTGTTTGGGACAAGCTCCACCGGGTGTTTTTGTGTTTTTGTTATTTTCGCCCTTCAGGCTGTGGTGGACGAGGGACAGCTCCGTCAAGAAGCCTGGCGTTCGCTCAGCGCAGAGCTATGCGCGGCTGGCTGAGCAGCAGTGGGTGCAGCTGCTTGCGCACCTCGTCAGTGCAAATATTGTGTGCTTTGCCATTACTCCAGTTTGCCAGGCATCAGTTGTTGCCCCTCCGGAGGAGAGACGTTGATCAGAGGAGCAGGGGTCACTGCAGGTCACCAACTTTCATGGGCTTTTGCCGTTGTGGAGTGCGCCACGTGGGCCAACAATGTTGTCCAATGTTTTGTCCTGGTTCGGTAAATGCTGGCGCAAGACCAGCAGGAACCTTTCCAGGCTTGGAGTTGTTGACCACCTTTTGATCAGGGACTCAAATAAACATGGGCAACAACTTGGGCTTAATGTGCAGCCAGGTTTTCCAAAGCACTTTGCCATGGCGAGCCGCATGCAAGGCATGGTCATCATGATGAGGGGGGAGGTTGGCGCTGGTGCCACAGAGCGGCGAAGCGGGGGTGCTTGTGCCTGGAGGATGAGTCGGCCATGGGTTACAAGCTCGTACCCCCAGTGAACATCCCAATCACCTTTGTAGCTCACCAGCTGACAGTTGCCATCGCCCTTTCCCTTTCTGCACCCTTGCCATAACAAAATAAAACGCTTCCGAGAAGAAAGGGAAAGAAAAAACGGTCCAAAGCCAAAGCTCTGGACATCTCTGGGCTGCAAAGAAACACCCAGCGCGCACCTGAAATCATGGACTAACTTGAAACAAGTGGAACCCAGCTCCCTTTCACCCTGACATGCACTCTGAGAGCCTAGACTCGCCAGGCTGGATGGTGGTGGCGACGAAGACAACGTAGTTTGTGAAGATGAGTCAGGGCACGGCCCGCTGAAAACCTTTTTTCGTTCAACTGATGCGGTTTCAGTTGGTTTTGTTGCGTGGTCCCAAATTTGGGGAGTTGCAGAGACAGGCCCCCATGGCTTGTAGAGACCGGCCCCAATGTTTTGGGGAGCTTCAGCATGGTGCTCCTGCCACCCCCGGCTTTGCTTTTCAAGTTCAGCCAAACTAAGGCAGCCTTGTGGAGTTTATTCCAGGTTTCATGATTGACATAGACGTTATTGAGCCAACTCCTGAATTTCAATCTACGCACTGGCAACCGTCTCGACACTGGCAACTGGCTTCTTTTGATATTCGCGATCAGAAAATCAAAGCACAATCAGCAGAGGGCAACACAAAGCCAAAAAAGGAACTACAAATGCCATCCAGACACTTCAGGGAACATGAAACACCCTAATACAAATGAAGCACTCAAATAGCATGGCGCTGGCTTTGATTGCGCGTGTCAAAGCGCTCTCGCTGTCGCGCCGTGCGAATGTGTCTTGAGCTCGGCGACCCTCTGCGGCGATCGTGCGCGTCGAAGCGCTCCCAGGTCCTGTAGGTGAGCCACGTCCCCCAAACCGGCTCAGGTTTTTCTGAAGGTTGGTAAGGAATTATCTTGCTGGTTTGCAGGTCGGTATTCATGTTTTTGTCAAAGTGTGCTGAATCATAATCTGAATGGTCCCTAAGTATCCCAAGTCATCTCCCCCCATGGCCATGCGTGTCGCCGACCATAAATAGGTGTGGCCGCGGTTTTCATTCTTTGCACGGTGTTGGATAGACCAATTGAATACAACTCAGGCTCCCCCATTAAGGTGTCGGTTTTTGAAGGTACCGTTTCCGTGGCTTGAACGGAAACCCATTTTCAAGGAAGACCTTCACCAAAAAGACGGACGACAGGGCATCAGTGGAACTTTGGACTACTACTCTCCACAGATTCCCCCTTTTGCAGCCCTGCAAAGGAACCCATTTCCTTTACCACTCGACACATGGCCCTGGGAATGGGGGCATTTGTGCTACTTGTGTGATTGGGGAACCTCCTCCTCTAATTGAGCATTTGGCCATCGGGAAGGCATTCCAATGGTATCATAGAATAGAGGCATTCCAACCGCACCGTTTGCTGCCACGAAGGCATTTCAGTATCTCGTTTTCATTGGGGAATCTTTGTTGCCCCCTTGCAAAAAGACCCAGTTTTTGCGTGGCTTTTGTACTGACCTCCCGGCGGTTTTTGCTTTTGGCAGAAAAGTGGGGGCGCCGTTTTTTGCACGCTGAAGTTTGACTCAGCAACAGCTAACTTAGTGCCTCGGGAAGCTCCATCCGATCCCGTTTAATTCCCTGGGTGGGTTCCTTTTCTGCCGAGTGGGCAGGCAACTTGGAATGGTTCCCCGTTCCACATACCTTCTCTACTCTTGACCTCGCATTAAACAAAACAAATGACAGGGTATTTTATGAAAGTGTCTAAGGACATTTCCAAAGAACTTTTATGCTATCTGGGAACGTATTTTTGCACTTTAGCTTCTTGGTTGAAATAGCTGGGATTTTCGATTCTCACTTCCTGAGTTCCTGGACTTCATACTTTTTGGGAAGGCCATATTAGTGGCAAACAAAAAAGTGGGCGGAAGCGAGCATTGGACCTTTTTTGCAGAGGGGTCCTTTCTGCAACCACGGCAAGGGACCCCTCTTCCGATCGTCGGGGAGGGTATAGAAGAAAGTTCAAAGGATGTTCAACAAACATATTGAAACAAAGTGGGTTATTGAAACAAGAGGGGGTAATTGAAAGGGCACATTTTGAAAGGGCAATTAAAAAACCAAGTGTCAAAGGGTACAGTACCGCATCCCCAAAAAAAACACTGGTCGTTTTTTTGTTTTCTGTTTTTTTCTTTCTCGGGGGATCCCCAGGAAACCGATGGTTTCTTGCTTATTAAACAAGACTGGAAGAAGTGCGAAAGAGTACAACAGTTCTTTTTTTGGACAGGATTTTTTCGGGGTGTTTGAAAGTCCAAAGGAAGCGGCGACTTGGGGATCAAGGGGTTTATCCCCAGCCCCACTTCTGTGATACCAGGGGATCTCCCCCTTTATTTGGGGGTGTTCGTCTTCGGGAAGCCCATTCTGTTGTATCACAGATTCGTGGAATCCATTTCCCGCACCGAAACCCGAATTCGCTTCGTTCCCATCTTTGGGGTCGGCCGGGTCAGGCTTCGCCTGCCGCATTTTCTGTCGACTATTGGAGTTCTGTGGCTCCAAGACCTCGCGGCTGGTGGATGAATTGCTCCTCGAGGCGACGGTTTACATTGATTCTGACGGAAGTCTGGTTCACCGGTTTGGACAGGGGATGCGGTTAGCCCCTTCACTTGAGTCACTCCATTTTAGTGGTAGAACAAGACAGTTTGGTGTTTCTGGCCACGCAGGGTTTCCTTCATGTTCCTTTCAAGCTGAGCTACACGGCTCTCTCAAGGCAGGGAACTCCGGAGCAAGCAGAACACTCGCTTTTAGTGGGAATTCTTCACTTTTTGGAGGGCGCACCCAGGATTTATCCATCTCGGGTCAAAAAACAGGCAGTTGTTCCATGGCGCTTGGCCGCCCAAAGCTGTGGTAAGTTGGATAATAAACCCAGCAAAACCAATCAATGTTGAAATAGGCCCCTGGTTGATTTATGGGGGGTCCACGACAGGGTAACAGCTTGCAACGGTTCGATTTGGTTTGATTAGGTTCGCATTTCTGGTGCATGCAGCGATGCAGCGCCCGTAATTGGGAACTCATGCTCAAGATGCTTCCACCATTTGTTCATAACTTGCGCGCGAGACGACGACAATACATGTTTTCCGGTGTGCATTGCACAGTTTTGCTGTGTGCTTGGTATTTAGTTGAGGCAGTCGCTTATTTCACAGCTAGCTTGATGTTCCTGAGGCTCGGGGAGGGGTTCAATACTGAGGTTTGAATATTTGTTGGTTTTGGGCACGCTGCGATTCGCCTGTGAGTGTTGTTCCCCATTCAATAGCGTCCAGCTGCAGGACCTAATGCTCTAATCGAACATGTCCGTGCGTCCGTTGTTGCGGCGTCGACCACTTCGCCGCTAATTTTGACCATGTCTTTTCACTTCGAGTCAGAACAGTTGTGCAACGCAACAGGGAAACCAGCAATTCCTGGTTTTCTAAGAGAGATTCCACTGCCAAACCGGTTCCCCCCCCAAGGGAAGACGTGGAGATCCACTACATGATATGATTCATTGTTTTTTATTTTATCTTCATTTGCAACGTAATTCAGTAAGTCCAATGTGTCAGCACTGTCCAATATTTGAGGAGCTGTCCGCACTTGCATCCCTAATCAAGATACACTTTGATATACAGCCACGCAAAGTGGGTTGTATTATATCCCATTTTCCCTTCGGGGTAATTGACACCCTGTGATTGAAAGCAACACACAAAGCGCAACAGATAATTAGAGTCTGGCTAGCCCTGCAATAAAAAACATAAATCGAGTGATTCTTGCCTGAGATTGGGCACCATGTTGGCTTTGGATGGCAGGCTCTGAGCACCGTTTTTTGGTTTGGGCTGGCTGGGGGGGGGGGGGGGGGAAACTGACCCGCAACGCCTCAAAACGCGCAAAAAGTGCACTGTCAGGGACCCCTGTTCTGTTTTTGGTTCTTCCTTTTTTGGGGGAGACTGACACCATGGGAAGACCCGCAACGCCTCAAAACCTTCTGTTTGTTGTGTGTGTTTTTTTTTGGGGGGGGGTGGGGGGGTGGGGCTTCCTTCTCAAGGCTCATTTCGGGCCTGTGTAGGTGGGCAGCCTTTGCAGCCACAGCTTTGCGCACCACGTGGTGCAGTCCATTTTGGAGCACGGGGAGAAGAGGCACAAGAAGATCATTGCCCAGGCGTCGCCGCAAGAAGAAGAGCCTCCTCCAGCCACAAAAAAAAACGCTTAATTCTTGCATCCATTTGGCAGTGGTTGTCAAAACCGTTTTGGAATCCCATTTTGGTAGGTGAATTCACCCCCCAGTTTAGAACCCATTTTAGTGGTTGGATCGGGATGTTCACTGGGGGATAACCGGGCTTTTGACCCATGGCCATTTCTCTGGGTGGTTCAACTGGCCATCCGGTTTAACTGTTTTTTTGATCTTTGTAGTTGGTTGGGTGGTAGTTTCCGAATTTAATCCAACAGTTAAACTTTTAGCAGGGGATATGAGGACAGATTTGATCAGCCGATATGGTGTGTGTGTGTGTGTGTTTGAAGTGGTGCAGTGGAAACGGATGTGACATGTTGATTTGTCCAGTGCCGAAGCTCCAGGTAGGTCCAAGCAAGGCTTCGGGCAGCACCAGTCCTTCTGCAAAGAAGAATGGCGAGCTCACCCGATCCGGGGGTAAACCGAGCGAAAGCCAAAGATGCTCTGGGTCCCTTAATTCAGCTTTTGGAGTTCTAGTAAAATTGGCAGACAATCCTTGAGCATTTCGCCAGATTATTTGTCCCTTGTGGTTCCCACTAAGGGTTACTGATTCGGAATGCCTCACTTGCCCAAAGCGAATCGGCCTGTTGACCTTTCGGTCCAATTTTGGTCCACTTTTAGCAACACTTGCAAAAGGTTCACCTTCTATTCCTAGTTCCTTTGGGCAAGTGAGATGCCCCGACCCCGTTTTGTACCACCCAGATCAGTCAACCATGCTTTCTAGGTCCCCCAGGGGAGGGTTCCTCTACTAGAATAGACTACAGAAAAAGTTGGTACCCTTATTCTAATCTCTCTACTGGAGGACCGCCCGCTTTCCTTCCCCGCCCGCTCCAGCCTGAGAGCGTGGTTGGACGACAAGTTCTTGGATGGCTTGCGTGTACGCAGCTCGCGTCAGCAGCACGCATACGCAGAGCTGGAGAAACAAGTTGGACCTACAACCCCGAGGAGGAACAAACATGATACCACGCATGGCATCAGGTGGCATCACTTAGCCGTGGTAGCGCCAGCAACAACTTTCTAGAATTGACCAGCTGGAATTAGTCCCGCCATATTGGTTCTAGCTGTGAGCAATTATGTCCAGCAATCTTGTTTTGCCGGAAAGACTTGACATGTAAGGTGACAACGCTCATGAAACTGTAGAGCCTTTGCTGAGCTACATCTGGCATGGAAAGAATACCGATCACTAGTTCACCATACTTGGAACTGGGGGAAACAGCAGCAGGACAGCACAGCAGCAGCAGCAGCAGCAGTAGCAGCAACCACACGAGTTTGCTCAAGGTCCCGCTGTCTTGGGGGATCTTTGCTTCAGGGGAACGTGAAATGTAGTTTCTCGGCCCACGCTAATCACAGAACATCAAACATGTCTGACTCTGTTCCATATTGGGTATGTTTTTTGTTTGGGGGACTCCCATGGCTTCGGTTTCCCTTTTGGTTTCCCTTCAAAGCACGAGAAGGCGAGCCAGCCAAATCTAGTCTACCCTGAAATGCCCATCTCGTTTTTGGAGGATGCCCCAGGTTTGCCCTGAGAAAACTTTGACATATTTGCGGTGAAGCCCAGCCCATTTGGTTGCTTTTTCTTTGCCCATACTTTTTGGCTACCCGGTACCCTTTTCGCCCTTTTTGGGGGGGAGGGTTCCCCTACTAAAATAGACTACAGAAAAGTTGGTACCCTTATTCTAATCTCTCTACTCTGGAGGACCTAGTTGGTCTACCAAGGAAGCCAAAAGGGGATGGCCGAGATCACTTTTTCAGACACCCTAGCCCAAGTCTCGCGAGGCCCTTTGGCGCAAAGCATCGCTTTCTCCAGTTTCGAAACCGGAGCGAAATTGCACTGCGAGCATTCACAAGTTCTGTCAAGAAAGGCGAGGAACAATCGCAATCAAACAGAGTATTGGACTCTCTCTATCTCTCTGTATGTATGTATATATATATATGTATATGAACAACTGTATAACAATCAAACCGAGTATTGGACTCTCTCTATCTCTCTCTCTCTCTCTCTGTATATGTATGTATGTGAACAACTATATAATATGGATCTATACATTGTTTTGCTCAGCACTCGCCTTCTTGAACATGCTCATCTTGCGACTTGTTGGCTTTCATGCGACCCTGCAGAGTATTTGTGGTCGACATGCAGCAAACAGTGGCGAATAGTGCGCCCTAATCAAACACTAGGCCCTCGAGTAGTGCCCTTTTACCCTTTTTTTGGGGGAGGGTTCTCCTACTAAAATCGACGAAACAGAGAAAGTTGGTACCCTTCACCTGTGGCGTTGTCCTTTTCTATCGGACCTCCCCCCTCCGGAAAATCAGAATCATAATGATAATGGTGTGTTTCCTTCTGGTTTCCCTTCAAAAACACCAAAAGGGGCTACCCTCGAAAAAGTCGAACCAGCCTTGGGCTTTTTGATAGCGCCCCCATTGTGATTGGCAATGAGAGGAACTGGTTTCCCCGTTTTCCGAGAACTCAGTGGCACTCCATTTTAGCTAGGTCCCCTAGTAGTGCCCTTTTTCCTTTGTTTACCCTTTTTCGGGGAAGGTTTCCCTACTAAAATAGACTACAGAAAAAAGTTGGTAGGACCTAGTTGGTAAGAAAACGTTTGTCGGGTTCTTCTTGGGGGCAACTGAGAAACACGATGATCATAGGTGTCCTTTTTGGTTGGTTTGCTTAAAAAATAGAGGGCCCTGGTTTAGTTGGTTTATTCCATTTATTAGGGCCATCTAGTTTTCCAAAAGGCCACCTATGACGATGATCGTTCGGGGGCCTCGTTTGAGCCCGTTCCGCGGCCGAAGCTGGACAGGCCCTGCTGGAGGACGCGTGGGGCTTTGCCACCCACAAGAACTCGAGCTACCTCATTGAGAAGATGCTCCTCTTTTGTGAGGAGGAGGAGACCTATGGAGTTGGGTTTCTTACTCTCTGAGTTTCTGGATTTTGAACATTCTCGGAATTTGGAGGTTTTTGAGTTTCTGGACTTTGAACATTTTGGATTTGGACCATAGTGGTAAATATGAATGTGTTTTGGGTTTCAGTCTGGTTCTCAGAGTGATATCTTGCCCTGCAGGCTTTAGGGTCTCGTCTCTGCCCAGTTTTTTGCTTCGGATGCGGTTTCCGGGTAGCCTCCCTCCCACCAGCATGGCACCTGACAGGGGGTCCCTTCAAGACATTGATCTTCCAGGTACCTTCCGGGTGCCTTCTGTTAGTGGGAAGGGCATCCATGGAACCTGACTGGAGACTCCTAAAAGAAGCAAATGTTGTTCCAAAATGGAAGAAGGGGGTTGGGGGTGGGGTGGGGAGGCACTCCATGTGTTTGTTGTTCTTTTTTCTTTTCTTTTTTTCCGGTACGGGCACTCCGATCGATGTCGTGCTTCGCGAGGACCAAGAGTCGCTGATCGCCCAGCTGGGCAAGCCGGAGACGTTGCTGGAGCTGTCGACCACGCAGTACGGCAGCTACGTGGCACGGGCCCTAATGCAGGATGCCCGTGTGGACGTGCCTTGGATTCACTGAGGGTGGCTCGTCTTTTTTTGTGCTTCCATTTGCTTAAGAAGATGTTGTTGTTGTTTTTCCCTGAAGGGAAGTTATCTGGAGATATTTTTGTCCAGAGCACCTAAGCAAATGGAAGTGTGGGTGCCCCCCTTAAACCAAACGGAAAACACCAATTTCTGACTGTCCCCTAAAACCACACACACACACACCTAAACCAATTTCTGCTGGGTCCATGGAGTGAGTCCAGGGGTTCCCTCGAAAACTGCCACCTAAGGGTTAGCATGTCAGTTGTATCAGTGATATGAGATGTTCAATTAAACATATCGACAAATGTTGGCATATTAGCCATGTTAGCCACATGACCAGCAGATCAGCAGACTAGTTATACTAACAATGTTAAGGGTGAAGCTGTGGATATCAATTAAATTCGCAGCAAGAGTTTTCGGCTCCCTTGAGCAATTGCTTTGTAAAAGCAAAGGTTTGGGGGGGGGATAGTGATACTACGGTGGCTGTGGGGCACGTAGTGGTTTGGGGGGTAATTTGTCGCCTTCTTAGACTGTCCCACAAAGCCAAAACCAGACGCGCAGGGCCAAGATGTTCTGCATGACGATTTTCTGGTCTTCTCCAGACCTGTGAACGATTCCCTGCTTAATTCCCGAGGAAACTCGTTCGGAACCGCATGGGTGGGAGCTAAGTATAACATGTCCTAGTCGGGTCTCACTCCCTGATTTCTGGACTTTCTTTTTGGTTTGGACCATTTTGTTGACAAGTATAGACTTTGTTTGGCCCGTCAACGAACGTGAGGGGAAAACCCCTCGAAAAGTAGTCTGAACTCTCTCTATTATATACTAAAAGGGGACATCAACCAGGGGTTCTACTTCGATCCGGGGCTCTCATTATCGTAGATAGAAGTAGAGACCAGGAGCAGAGATCGTTTTGGCACTCGAAGTCCACACTCCCATGGCATTTCACCAGAACACCTGGAAGCCCTTGATGCTCAAAGGCCTTTCTCAGCTTCCTTCTGGCCCATTTTGCCACACAAAAGGTGGACAATTGATCGACCCCCTGGTGAAGGATTCCTTAGGTCGGCCATTTTCTCAGAAAGGTAGCAAAAAGACACCCCTGCTCTGGATTGGTGGTTTGGAGGCTGTGGTTTCCCAGTTCCTCTTCTTGGGGGAGTTGCCCTCAAACAACACCACACCCACGTTCTGGCCATGAGTCTCCGGACATGCTTGCGCGAGAGGCCCCTTTTTACTGCAAGCCTTTCCCAAGGTGCTCGGATCGTATGGCTGTGTGTTTGTTTGATTGGGTTTGAAGGCACGTCAAAAGGAAAACCACCTAAAGTCATCGCCTTCTTGCCCGAAAGGCAAGACTGGATACGATGGCAACTGGAACATGGAACCTTCTGTTTGGGCCGCAGGTTTGGAGAAACGCCAGAGCTCGGTGTTTGCAGTTGTTCCGCTTGACCAATGGCTTTGGGTCAAGCCAATGGTACTATTTTAGGGTAGGTCCACCACCCATTTTAGTCTAGTTTAGTGGGGATTGGGATGTTCACTGGGGGTACAGGCTTTTGACCCACAGCCAAGTGAGGAATCTTATGGATGAGCTAATCAAACCCTGGCCTTACAAGCTGCCATGGCATTTTAGATCACACCGAGGGCTTCGGAAGTTTCCGTGAGAGGTATGGCCTCAAGACTTAAGTTGTTTTGCCAGAGGCCCTTGGGAACTGTGCAGTCCGAAAAGTTGCTTCGCGAAGGGTGAAGGGCTTCTCTGAGCACGTCAACCCGCGAACCCCCCGAGTCCATGCCGAAGGGCCCGCAGGAAGGCAACCAATCGCCGTTGTGCAAGGGGTAACTAAGTTCGGACGATGGCCGACCGATCCGCGCCTAACATTAAGATGGAGCCGAAAAAGCACGGGTCCCGAAAAAGAAGATTCCGCTCTAGCACCCCGCAACGAGGGGTTTTCTCCATGTCCAACTCCCCAAGTATCGAAAAATCAGTTGTTGGGTGCCGGGACATATTTGTTGGTTTCCAGGTCAATCTGGCTGTGGGTCAAAACCAATGGTACCTTTTTGGGGTAGGTGCACCACCCATGTCAGTCTATTTTAGTGGGGATTGGGATGTTCACTGGGGGTACGATTTGGCTTTTGACCCATGGCCATCTCTGAATCTGGGGAGTAGCTCGCATCCGCGCCAAGGCGGATGCAGCCTTGCGCCTGATGGCAGCGCACAAAACAGACTTGGCGGCGACAAAGCATGGCCACCGGTTCTTAGCAGATGTGGGCTTGGCAGAGGAATGACTCTCCCCGCGGAAAATGCGATGCATGAGACTTGTGGGCCACTGCCCGTTGAGGCGATAACATGTCTGCCCGTTGCGGCGTGAATGGCGTAGTTGTGGTGCTATGGTGTGGCATCATAGCTCGCATGTACAGACTGGCTGACCGAACTTTTCTTGACAGACACAGACCTTTTTATAACCTGTTGCCTTGCCTCGCATTGGACGGCCGAGCATATCTTGCACGCACACTTGGTGCGGTGTTTCCTCCAAGGAGTTGGACATCCGTAGCAACTCGGTGAGCCACTACGACATGTACAGCGCACGTCCGCAACGTCACCATGTGGCCGGCAGAAACAGAGAAACAAATTTGTGTGCCGCAGGTAGCCCGGGGTCGAACACATCACATGCAGAGTTTATAGCACACAACCCCCTTACCCCTTAAGCCTTCTCCAAGAGATGTTCACTACCCCTCAACCCCTACCCCACCCGTATATTATATATATATATATATATCAGAACGAAAGGTAGTTCATGGGGGGGGCTCACCCTGCATATAGTATACACACGTATTTTTTTATCGAATCGAGTGGCTATGTAATTAGTTCTTCATTGCAATTATGCCTCACTTTCCACTGTCTTCGCCTGGAAAGGTCGCTCCACCTTGACCCTCCCGGGTTCTTACCTGGGGCTTGGGCTGGAAACGGCGGGGAGCCAAAGGGCCTTGAGGGCAAAAGAGAGCCCATGGCCACAACGACAACCCCCGAGGCCTCAAACCCCAAGGAAATATCGGAGTGAAGGCGTTTGAGCAGATTTAAGGCTAATTTACTTGGTGGTTCCCAGCCAGCCAGACGTCTTTTTTCGCTGTTAGTTGGTTTGGCGGTTTCCACTGGAGCACTAGTTGAACTTTCAGATGTGGATCTAAGCACAGCCCAGATTCCAGATGGCAGGTTTGATTCTATTTGTCTCATCCAGGGCTATGTTTTGGGCGTCCGGTCCATCGGTGTGTAAGTAGGACATGTTTTTTCCGAATCAGCCCGCCATGGCTTCATGGACCAACTCGTCGGCCCTCATGAAAAAACAAAATCAGGACCCGGAGAGAAGAGGGATAGGGATAGGGATAGCCAGAAGTAGCTGCCCATAGGAGTTGCGCCCTCGTTTTTCGCTTTTTGCTTCGGCTCGACCAAAGGCCGCCGTACTTCCAGGCGCGAGGATTCGCAGCGGCCGGTTTGGAGGGCTGGAGTCTCGAGAGGTGCGTTGATCCAGCAAAGGACATGGCCGTTCTGTACGAATCGAAGCAAACTCCTAGGTGCCCCATAGTGCCCTTTTGCCCAAATTGCCCTTTTTTGGGGAAGGGTTCCCCTACTAAAATAGACTACAGAAAAAAGTTGGTACCCTTATTCAAACCTCTCAAATCTGGAGGACCTAGCCTCAATTGACACACTGGTGTCTTTTCTCAAGGGCACCCCAAGATGGTGGTGGTTCTTTCGGCTTCAATCGAAAGCCTTCAAAAGGGGGTACCTTCAAAAAGGACACCCCCCACATGTTGCCGGCCAAGCACAAGTACCAAACATCAGACATGCCGGGGTTAATAGCACGGAGATCGGAACGGCGACGAACACCTTCTAAGATGCAGAAAACTCCCAGTTTGGTGGCTACCCCACTGGGGTTTGGCAGCCGCTACATTCAACAGGGCTCCTTAAAGTTTACATGTTGCCCATTTGAAACATGGCTTTTTCCATCCAAAATAAAAGGACACCACCATTTACAAGGCAATATTCCTGTTCAAAAACAAGCCTGGCCAATTCTAAAGTTAAGACCGTTCCCACCCCAAGGGCTCGAAAAAGAGCCACTATGACTATATTTGCCCGCTATAGAACGGGTACATGTCTTGATGTTCCCTTCGGTGATGGTTTGGGGCAAGTGGAACCTTTGTAGAAATTGGCAATGTTTCTCACACGGTGAAGCAATTGAAAGGGTGTCCATCGATGTCCGACCTATTTGCGCGTTTGTAGCGACCAACCATTGGAGGAGTCAAAGGATGTATTCCAGAGAATCTGCGTTCTTTGAATATATGTTCTGGTCTCTTGCCAGAAAGAGAGGTGTTTAATTGGAAGGACTTTGGTGTTTGGTGGAAGGGCGAGGGTGCTGAACGGTAACTTTGAGTTGTTCTACACCAAACCATCAGGGGATGGGTATTTGTCATTTTGTCCATACTGATTGTTTAACTTCACACCCAGCCTTTGCAGAGGGGTGTTCCATGGCAATTTGGGAGGAGCCAAGTTCATTTCAACTTTGAATTGTGGCTGTTGCATCTCTTTCGAGAAGGACGCAACTGGTCGGGTTTTTCTCTCACTGACTACTTGTATGATGAGATCCTGATTGAACCAGTGAACCTCATAGATAGGTGTCCTTGCTTTAGGGGAACACCATCTCTTCTTTTCTTGGGGGGGCCCTCACTCCCTGAGTTCATGGACTTTAGACTTTTCGGGAAGCCCATTTTCGTGGTACAGACCAAGTCGCTTCCTTTTTTCTCCGGCCAAGTCACTCTTTTCGGAAGCGAGGGTTCCTTTAAAGAAAACCGGCGTGCATGCCCACTGCTGACCGAACGGGACGGGCAGTTCGGGTGTTGCCATGGGCAGGTTCTTGTTCCCGGCCTCCCAGTGCTTCCTGCGTCAGGGCCCCAGTGTTCCCCTTTTTTAGGTTCGTCGGCTGAGAAATGTCATGGGCTGCACCGGTTTTGGTTTTTGATGCCCTCAGATCGGGGCTCGGTCTTTTTCCAAGAGGTCGGACCCTAAGAGATGTTTTCCCCGGCGACGTTCCCTTTCGCGGAGCGGATCGAGCGGAGGTGTCAACCTTTGGTTCCACAGGGTGATCACAGCCACGTGATCAAAACCGAAACCCGGGTAGATGATCCGGTTAAGGGGCAGTCGCCGGAAAGAGAAAGGCGGAGATCCGCCGTTCTAATTCTTGAAGCATGGCTCTGGGTTCACCATTGTTGTACCAGGTTTTGATTGTGACTCACCTTTTCTTTGTGGGTGCTTTGGGCTGGGAAAAGAACAGCCAACCATGTTGGGGTGCAAATCCACGTCTTCCGTTTGCTGAAACGAACATGTTTCTAGTTTCCCCTGATTTCAAAGGGAATCGATTTCACTCCTGGAAACGGTTGCCCATTTTTTCCACGGGCTTCAGCAAATGGATGTCTAGGTGCAAGTGAGAGTCACATTTGTTTTCGACTTCGGGACTTAAAGTCCGCGGGGTGTTTCGCTTTAGCCTGAACCTTTCCGGAGCTGACTTGTTTTTGGTAACATGGGGCCAGCTGAAGCTTCCCAAGCCGAATGACGTCCCATTTATGAACCCTGGTATGACCCCGTGGGTTACTTAACTGTTGGTTATCATGTAGTGGGACATTAGCCCTCATGTCGGGCCCAAAAAGAAACATGGGGTCATACCTGGACCTATAAAGTCAGCCTTTGACTTGCGATCGGTGCGAGAGATGCAGGGAATGAGAGTTATGGAATGACCTGATGACCCCAAGAAAAACCATCCAACTGATTAGTTTCCTTCATTCGGGAATCCCAAAACGGTTCATTCCAACGCATTCCCTATCGCAGCGATCGCAAGTTGAGCCTCCTTCTTCCACCTGCCTTCCGAGATGAGGCTCACAATTCAGCCGTTTCGGACCGTGGATAGAGTTGAGTAAGAAGCAGGCGTCCACCTGCCTTCCAAGATAAGGCTCACAAGTCAGCCATTTCATTTTCTGGGACTGATCGTTTCGCGGCGTGTGCTTTTGTTGAGTTGTTTGCTTACGAACTGTTTGTGGGACTGTTGCGGAAGCTGGAAGGGCCAGGGCTTGCTTCGCGGATGCGTCTTGAGCATGTAACAAGCATTCGCGCCATCCTGGTGGGATCTGTGACGAACGAACCGCCTTGGCCTTTTGGCCTTTGAAACGGCCACTGCTTCCGAATACCTTCGTCTGAAGTCCTGAAGGTCGGCGCCCAACGAAACCAATCATCGAAGCCCCTTGTAAGTGAAGATGCAGAACAACGGATTCCAAGAAACCGCTAGCTTTCCTGGCACAATGTGTGTAACATCCGAAAGCCCATGTGTTAGACACGAATTTCGGGCTACCCAATTGAAGACAAGCGTGGCTTGCAACTGCCGGCAAGCTGCGAATTTTGAGATGTCTGTTATTGCATTACTTAGTGCAATGTAGGTGTAAATGATCCTTGTGACAAAAAGCGCCCCAAGGTAAGGAAACTGCAGCTGAGGAAGCAAGCACCAATGCCCTAGGAAGCGACGGTTCAAGCCGAGCTTTTCTTGGAAGAGTCGGCACTCCAACCGGGATTCACAGCGCCCATGCTGGCAAATTACGGGGGTGTCTTTTTTAGGGGACACCCAAAATGACGGTTTTCCTTTTAGTTTTTTCCTTAAACAGACACAACCAACAAAAAAAAGGGTACCAACTCCAAAAAAGACAGGCCCCTAAAGGGTCTGTGTCAAACTAGGGGCCAATCAAAACCAACCCAAAAAAAGACCCTTTTGTCACCTCAGCAAGTGGGGTTGCAATCCCGCGAGTCGTTTTTGTTGGGGGTTTGTGGAGGTTGCCCTTCAGTGGTTTGGATTAGTGGCTTGGGGATTTGAACTCTGGTTCTTGGATTGCGGGCCAATGGGAAACCAGCCCCAAAACCACTGAACCACCAATCAAAACCAAAAAGTAGCGGGAAACTGATCGTTTCAGGTAGATCACCCATGATTCACCCAGTTCGAAGTAGGCTGGCATGAGCTCAGCGCTATTGGTTGCGGATGAAAACACATTTCCACTCGAGCCGCGAGGTCCTACCCTTGGACTGGTTCCGGGACCCTTGGGCATAGCGTGAGACAATGCAACACGAGGTGCTTACAGTTGCAGGTTTGGTCGTCTCTTCTAGGTCCCCCAGCTAGGTGCCCTTTCTCACCCAACTTTTTTGGGTGGAGGGTTCCCCTACTAAAATAGACTACAGAAAAAAATGGTAAATAGAGATCCTGAAACAAGTTGGTACCCACGCCAAGAGGGCTGGTGCCATATGTGTTTCAGCCAAAGGACAGGGAAAAACTCTGAGGCCATCAGTAGCCCACGGTGATCCGCGAGGCGGATTTTTCAACCTCCGGCATCGTTGCTTGTGTCTGATAATTATGTATTTTGCTTGATACATGCGGTATATACAATTTAACTTAGTATTAATATAAGTATGCTAACCTTGCATACAGTAATGACATTGCATCCCTTGGCTGGCCCATCACATCGCACCACATCACATACATACATACATGTAGCAGACTCCAACCGGGTGAGGCTTTGTGCAGTTTGCAAAAGGGCTCC